GTCTCCCTGGCACGTCCCGGTCGCGTCCCACGGGTGCCGCGTGTCCCCGCCGCGCCCGCTCACCGTTCCCACGCGCTCCAGGTGCGCGGAGCTGCTGCTGGCGCACGGCGCGCGGGTGAACCTGGGCACGCGCGACCGGCAGGTGACGGCGCTGCACGTGGCGGCGCGCCACGGGCTGCCGGCCCACGTGGAGCTGTACCTGCACCACGGCGCCGACCCCGAGCGGCGCACCCAGCAGGGCGAGACCCCGCTGAACGCGGCGGCGGCGGCGGCCGAGCGCCCCGAGGACGCCGAGCGGTTCCTGCGCGTGGCCGAGCGGCTGCTGGCGGCCGGCGCCCGGGCCGGGGCCGCGGGCCGCAAGGGCCACACGCCGCTGCACAACGCCTGTGCCAACGGGCACGCCGCGCTGGCCCGGCTGCTGCTGCGCCACGGCGCCGACGCCGCCGTGCCCAACGGCGCCGGGGACACCCCCATGGACTGCGCCCTCCGCGCCGTGCCCGAGTACCGGGAGCAGCGGCCCGAGGAGATCCTGGCCCTGCTGCTGGACCACGGCGCCCTCCCCGCGCACCCCAAGGTGGGGCACGGGGTGACGGGGGACTCGGGGTGCCGGGGGGGTCACCCCGGTGACACGGCTCTGCTGGCAGATGCTCAGGCTGTGCTGCCAGCACCCGCCGGCGCTGGAGGTGATGCTCAACGCCTACGACCGCGTGCCCCCCGCCGACGGCTGGGCGGAGGCCGTGCCCCCCGAGCTCTGGGAGGTAACGGGGTCCTGGGGGGTCCCGGGCCGTGCCCGTGTCCCATCCCGGCGCACCGAGCCCTCCCGTGTCCCCCCACGCAGGAGCACCGGGAGTTCTACGCCTCGGCCGTGCGCATGGCGGGGCGGCCGCGGCGGCTGCAGCACCTGGCCCGCGTGGCCATCCGGCGCCACCTGGGCGCCCGCTGTCGCGCCGCTGTCCCCGAGCTGGCGCTGCCACCCGCACTGCGCCGCTACCTCCAGCTGCCCATCGAGGGTCTCATCTCCTGAGGGCACTCCATGTGTCCCCGCCGCTGCCCCCTTCTTGCGTGCCCTCCTTGCTCCCCACGAGTGTCCGCTGCCTGTGTCCTCCCCGTGCCCTGCTGTCAGTAAAGGACATGGCAGAGGTGGCTCCCGAGGTGTCCTTGTCCCCGTGGGACCAGCGGGGCAGCGTCACCTGCAGTGGGGACGGGGGAGGAGGGGACAGAGCCCTTGGGTGGCAGGGGGGGGACAGACGGGCCCCGGAGGATGTGGGGGCCGTGGCGGGGGTGCCCGAGGGGTCCGGGGGGTCCGGGGGGTTCCGGTCCCGGGGGGGCTCAGCCCGGGGTTCCCACGGTGCTCCCGGGCCCCGCCCCGCCGGTGACTCCGCCCCAAGTGGCCCCGCCCACGCCGGGCACGCCCACTCGGGGCGCGTTCCGCTGGCCCCGCCCCTCTGGCCCCGCCCCCGGGGCGCGCCCGCCGCCCCCGGCCGCCCCCTGGCGGCGGCGCGCGGTGACGTGGCGCTTCCGGC